CTCTCTGTGTGTTAAATTAGCGGAAAGTCCAAAAAAGTCCAAAGCTGGCAAAACGACCATTCCCCTGCCCGAAAGTTGCAAGCTTTTTACTTGGGACGGAAACCAGATAATCACACCCTCGAATTTCTTCATCCTTTTGATCGAATTGAACTCAAACCCAATAATTCTCTGCAGTTCCTAGAGAAACCAAATTCGAAAAGTCAGCGTTTTGCAGCTCGAGTTCTGAGAATTCTGCAGAAAGAAAGAGTTGGGTTGCTGGGAGCGGCGGAGGAGATGTGGGGGTTCGGGGGTCGGTGTTATTGGGGAAGGAAGGAGCGGCGGAGCGATGGGGTTGAAGGGATAGTGGTGCTGTTTGCGTGGATGTCGAGCCAGGAGAGGCAGCTGAAGAGCTTCGTGGAGCTCTACTCGTCTTTGGGTTGGAACTCTCTGGTCTGCCACTCTCAATTTCTCAATATGTAAGTTGTTGTTCCGATTTTTTCGCTGAATTGGTGATGTTTTTCCTATCAAGTTTCTGCTTTTACTTTCGTTCCCAATTGGGTTTGACTTGTTTTGGTTAATCTTTTGTTCCCAATTGGGTTTGACTTGTTTTGGTTAATCAATAATCACTTAATGGCTTTTGCTTTTTTGGGTCGTTGGAGGAACTCGGTTGCTTAATATTGTTATTGTGGTTAGTTTTGTGATGGCTGGAGCTAGTTAGGGAATCAATGTTTCCTTAATTGACAGATTTTATGTGAGAAATGTTTTTTGATCCCCACTTTTCCTTGGTCCTAGTCTTGTAAAGTGAGTGTGGATCTCCCAAAATAGAATTACAAATTTTTTTTTGGAGGGAAAATAGGGATTTCAGTAACATATCTCAAAAGTACGATGGCCGGCATGAAGAGGAGGGGCATCGTTAAAACTTTACCATGGTATAACCACATGGGAAATTCCCTGGTGAAGGAAGAAAAGTAACCGCGTAACAAATGACATCACTTCGGGACTACAAGTTCATCAAAGATACAATCCATAAGCCATGGAGGTCCAACATCCCTCCAAAATGACTGACCCTCCAGAGTGCTAAGGCTATAACAAGTAATTTGTGGAGTTCTTTGAAATCGGGATGCAAAAGTAGTATTTTTGACAGCAGAGTAGAAATTGTATTGGATGAATGTTGTAGAGTTCTTTGATGAATGCGGAAATTTGTGGAGTAGAAATATTATTTTGATGGCTTGCAACTTATTTATACTAGTTGGCGGCATTTAGAGAAACATTCCTGGCAGCAGGCATGTTACAGAGAAAGGAAGAACTGCCTTTAATTGACGAAATTATTCTTTTGTACATGAATGTTTCAAGAAGATTACTAAGTACATCGTTGTTTATATTCTTCCTCCCAGTGATGATATAATTCGCCTTAAAATTCAATCTATAAATGTTTCAAATCTCAATATAACTTGCAGAACTTGCTGAACTTGAGCTATTATGTTTGGATCTTTCTGTTTTTGTGGCTGCAATCAATCAATTATGCATAATTGCTACTTCTAGAATGATGTGGGGCAGTTTGCACGCATCATTTTGATTTTGGACTAATGTTTGATATACATGATTTCTGCAGGTTCTTCCCTGAGAAGGCTACAACTATAGCAACGGATATTCTAAATGAACTTGTTGAGGTCAGTTATAACTTATACCACAGTTATATATTAATAGGTTCAGATAGACAAAAGAACCTGTTTAATTGATTTTCCTGAGTAAAGTTGACCAATTACCGCTTTCCTTTTTATATGAAATACAGGAGTTGAAGATTAAGCCTTGCCCAGTGGTCTTCGCTTCTTTTTCTGGTGGTCCAAAAGCCTGTATGCTCAAAGTTCTTCAGGTAAACTCCTTTCAGTTCTGAATGCTCCATATTTATTCGTACTTTCAATGTCAAAAGGATTTCACTGGTCATGTAAAGTAGCAAGCATCCAATTGATTGAGGATAAGTATTGACTACGTCTTTCATTTTGTGCAGATAATTGAGGGAACTTGTGAAGCAAAACTGAATCTGGTATACTATTTTATTCCTTTGAATTTCATTAATGACTGACTTATAAAAAATAATGTAATTTTTGTATTTAAAAGACATTGAGGCGTCACATAAGGGGACCAATGAAGAAAACGACCGCCAATCTGATTTATCACTAAAATATTTTGGGTGATCATTAATATTTTTTATGTTAGGGGCAATATGGGGTGTTCCATTTGGACTGATTCTTACAGTTTTGAAAGTTCTATTATCCATAATCTTATTAATCTTCATCTTTTGACCGTGAAGGATGATTGCCGACTGGTTAAAGACTGTATTTCTGGCCACATCTTTGATTCCTGTCCAGTGGACTTTACTAGTGATCTGGGTGCTAAATTCGTTCTTCACCCAAGTGTCCTGAAAATATCTAAGCCACCAAGATTTGCATCCTGGATGGCGCAGAGCATTGCATCTGGGCTCGATGCGCTCTTTCTTAACAGGTTTGAGTCACAACGTGCTGAGTATTGGCAGACTCTCTACTCCACAATTGTGAGTAACTAAGTATACTCCAGGCTGTCCTCTATCTAAAATGTCATTTTGTTCTCATCATTTATTCTTTATGATTCTTATGCAGGGCATGCAGGCGCCGTATCTCATCTTATGCTCGGAGAATGATGATCTTGCCCCCTATCAAGTTATCTATAATTTTTCGCAACGCTTACGAGAACTTGGGGCTGATGTTAAACTAGTAAAATGGAATGGTTCTCCTCACGTAGGTATGCTTCTAAACTTAAACTCAAAGGCTATTTATTGAGAAAGTTGAGGTTCTCCCATAAAACTAATTGGCAATATGGGGAGCAGCCCAACTTATAAGCCAATGCAAGGCCCCTCCTCCCATCAGTATGAGATTTATTCTCAACACACCCCCTCACGTGTGATGGTGGAGCATGTGTGGCTGTTGGGCATCACATGTGGGACAACTGCTCTAATAACAGGAAGAAGTTGGGGTTTCACCATATTGCCATTGATTTTATAGTAGAACCTCAACTTTCTTCATGGTACCAGAGCAAGTTAGCCTACGTGTGAAGTCCAATGGCCACATGTGCTCCACATCACACAATTCTTATTTATTTACTTTCTTTCCAAATTCTTATTTATTTACTTTCTTCTCTCTTATCGATAGCACATGTGAATGTACTAAAATCCTACAACTTGATTCATTGTTTCACTCACAGGTCATTACAAGCATTATCCAGTTGACTACAAGGCTGCCATAACCGAACTCCTTGGTAAAGCAACCAGAGTTTATTCCCAAAGAATTAGACGGCTGGAAGGGGAAACAATTGGCATGCAGGCAACACAAGATGAGATCGTTGACAATGAACCAATGAGTAGCCTTACAAAAGCTGCGGGAGGCTCAAATGGGTTTCGAGGAGTCACTCTGGCCTCAAGTGATCACTTCTTCACGCCCGGCTCAATGGAGTACGAGGGAGGTAGAGATATTGGGTCCATGCAAGACGAACGCAAGGAAGGGATAATTCACCTGCCTAACACGCCAACTCCAAGCATGAATGCCCACGGGGTTCTTGGTCAGATCCTTTTCGACGTCTGTGTTCCAAAGACTGTTGAGGATTGGGATATAAAGTCGTCATCAGGTTCTTTGAACGGGAAAGGCAGCTCAATCGCTTCAAGAAGACGACATGCCCCCTTTAATCCAATCAAGTGCATACGTCGCTCAAGATTATAATTTGGCACAAGACAAGAGAGATGAAGTTTGTTATCTTTACTTTTTCTTCATTTCTTGCTTTGTTTCTGGAATAAGGAGGATAAGGTACATTTGGAGGCGGTAAGCCGACGATGATCTCATTCTCCGGCTGAAAAAATGTACGGTGGGTTCACTGGCACTGAAGAAACTTTAGGTGGGTGATGACAATCGTTGTAATGAATATTAGAGGAAGCTGTAAATCTAGAAAAGAAATGAATCGTATGAGTTTGGCAAAATATTAATGTTTTTTTTTTTAACAAACGATATTATCTTTATAGATAAGTGCGTCAAGCCTCACGAAGGATTAATCTTAAAGTTTCTTATACCAAAATAAATCTTAAGAAAATATGAGTTTGGTCATACTTTGTTCAATGAAACTCAATTTATGTCACTTTGAACTTGAAACTCAATTTTGTCACTTTGCTTGTTTTTGTGAAAAATCAATTATATTATTCATGTGTACAAAATAACTCTAAAAATATTTAATATTTTCAAAATAGTAATGAATAAACAAATCATGTATCTCACTTAGAGTTTAAACAATGAAATCTTGATAAACATTAATCAAACGATAAATTTAATTTTTTCATTTCTAATGTTAGGTAGACTGAATTTATAACTAAATGATGTGTCACTACCAAAAAATAAGTACGGTAATCAACATTAAAGTAATAATCTAATGGTAATGACAGGAAGACTAAATTTGTAGATAAAATTTACAAACTAAATGATATGTCACCAATATGTATGCACACGTTTATCAACACTTAAGTCATAATTCAATTACCAACTTTCACGTTATTTGATTTACAAAATTTAATTTACGCATTTAGTCTCTCTTAGCATTACTTTTATTCCGTTTATCTCAAGTAAACACGCCCTTAAGAACCAATGGGCAACTAGGATTGCAAGTGGTAAAATTTGAAAATTCGAATCTCAACCGTTGGATCGATTTGACGCTAATTGGTTGCGAAGGGAATAGACTATTCAGCTTAAATTCACAGCTGAGTGCTGACCAATCAGCTTTACCTGTGACGCATCAATTACTCAACGAGGTGGGGAACTTGGCAGTCGACTACCGCTGGGTTTTCAAATGTGATGTGATATCCACACATCATATTTTACTTCTCACGCACATTTTTAAATTTTTACCGTCGAATTGAATGAATTAAAGAAGATCAATAAACAGAAATTAATATGTATTAAGTAAAATGGGGTGCACACCCTTTTCAAATTTACAATTTGCCACCAATTTCCTCTGTTTCACCCAAAATTAGAAGGAGGGAGCCCAAGAAAATTTTCTGTTTGTTTCTCGGGAAAAAAATGGTGACGCCTAACTTATCATACGAGGAGTCTCGCCGGCAGCGAATGGAGGAAAACAAGAAGAGAATGGAAGCTCTGAATCTGCCTATGCTTGCTCAATCTCTTAAAAAAAACCCAAATTCTCCAAAACCCTCCCCTGTAATCCCTAAAACCCTCAACCCCTCCTTCTCTCACACAAAAAAAAAATGAAAAAACGGCCCTCATTCTTCATTTCTCTTTTATTCGCAGATGAAGCGCGCGAAGGCCCGCACGGTGGAGAAGCAGCTGGTGGAGGTGAGGAGGTCCTCCCGGGTGGCAAATCTTCCGACCCCAGTCTACAAAGAAGTGGTGGGTATTTTGATTTTTCCTCTGATTGATCATATGCTTCTTTCCTTTTGTTTTCGAATTGGAAAGTTGTAATCTTTGATGATTTTATGGTTTGTAGAAGGTTGTGGTGGATCGGGAGATGAGGCCCAGAAGGTATTCTACTAATAGACATAGGGATTTGTCGAACCGGGTTTATGCTTCGGATGAGGCCAGAGATGACGCCACTGCGAGAGCTGAGGCATTAGAGTCCGGTTTGGGATCCAGTTACCCGACCATGGTGAAACCGATGCTGCAATCCCATGTCACTGGTGGATTCTGGCTGGTAAATTAGTGTGCTTTATATGATTATCTCACATTTTCATTGTATGTTTCTTCTGTATTCTATATACTTGTTGGTTGGTTGTTAAAAATCTTACGAACTTTGTACATTATCTCGTACCTGCTTCCTAACTGATTCAAGAACTGAGACATTGTTCGATTGACGTTCTGTTTGATGTGAAATTATAAGCTGTGCCTTTTTTGGCTCTAGGATTGGATTGAAATGGATAACCCACTATATTCAAGGTATATTGAAGGCAAGGCAATCAGTTTTTTATTTTGAGGGAATTAGACATGAAAAGAACTTATCCCTTCTAATCCTACCATTTTAGGGGATGGCACAGGTAAGTTTCCTTAATGAGTAATATATCTTCTACCTGCAAGTTGGACACAATTTTTGCATTTCTTCTTTCAGTATACCTTGAATATAGTGGGTTATCCATTTCAGTCTAATCCTAGACACCAAATGAGGCCTACGTGTGTTATCAATTATCTTCAGTATCCTACTTCATAATGTGTAAGTATAGGCGTACTTGCACTCATTCTGTTTAATGTCTGCAAACTGCAACAGGGTCTTCCAAAATATTTCTGCAGCAAGAACCTCCCGAAACGTGATGATATTGTGACTTTGATAGATGAAGATGAGGATGAGTGCAAGGTTATATACTTGGCTGAGAAAAGAGGACTCAGTGGTGGATGGAGAGGGTTCGCAATTGATCATGGTTTGGTGGATGGGGATGCATTGGTCTTTCAACTAATTCGGCCTAAAACACTCAAGGTTTGGTTACAAGTTTCTTGACAAAGTTGAACTGAAATTACAACAGTTTAGTTCACAAACTGCATAAAAGTTTTAGTATTTTACACTTGGTATGGTTAAATGAGGCTGATTCTTTGTTAAGCTCCAGAATAAGTATATTACCTTCAATAGATACCAATTAATTAAACTAGATAAGTTCCCTACATATGTCCATTTGCTGTATGAGACCACCCTATCATCCTGGTTTCAGTGTGTGTTTTTCGTTTCATGTACTCGTATTGTCATTTCAGGTGTACATTATAAGGGTGGAAAGAGCTGAATAGGGATACAAGCTTTAACTATTGTCAATGTTGGGTTTTTTGCGGTCATTGTTGCCGAGGTAAGGTTTTAAGTATCTCTCTTGGCCTTTCAGCTATGCATTGACAAATGGTTGAACAATATGTCATCTGATTTCTACCGCTTCCTCACAATCTAAGACTGCTAGTGATGTTTTCTATGATTTGTAAATGCACATCTCATATGTAGCCTCTTGACCAAGTCATACATTTACTCTTTTGCTTATGGGTTCCCAAGTTCTTCAACATATCAAGCCGAATTTTTGTTCTGCTGCGAGAAAACCTACACAACTGTGATTTAATTAACTGTAAGCTAGTTTCAGAGTTTGTTCTTCATATGCAAACACTACGCAAGGCAGTTGTTTGCATTTATTTAGTTAGAATAAAGACTTCTCGAAAGTTTTAAGACTCGTAAAATTGATCACATCATTGAAGTTACATGAGCATTCATGATGCATCTGTCTGTGTTATACGTAGAAACGATGTATCTTCTAAATTCAAATGCGCTCAAGTTGCTTGAATGGCATACTAGGATGCATGTACCCGAAGTTGCCTTCAGTTTTCCAGTAACTGAACGAATGGCTTTCTTCCTTGTTTGCCTCTTGGACTTGGTTGCTTTCTGAATAATGTTGTTGGCAGTTTTTACCTCATTAGCGTTCAAGCGATTTTGTTCGTCTTAATTCTCCTGTCTTCTCCCTCACGCAGCTCTTTTACTTATTATTGCAGGTGAAGCAATCGTGTGCAATCATATTTTTGAATGTTCTCCGGTGTCCCTTTTAAGACCTGTATGAAGAACCCACGAAACGAACAAATATGAATGAACATCCGATTTACTCTTATCTTTCCCGTTTCTCTGCTTCTATATTTCTTCAACTAAGAACTAAAAACTTCTCCATGGAAAGTGGCAAGCAATACAAGCAATTCGCTTCACGCAAGACTTTTCAATTCTTTAACACCGACAAGCGACAAGCGATGACTAAACTAAAACTTCTAATTGTTTGATTGTTGCATCGGGATAAACTTACTTAGGTTTAAATGTCTCTGTGTCAGTATTTTAATCTAATCACATGCGACTCTAATTGTACCAAAAATGCTGCTGCATTTCACCAGATTTACATGTTACTAGGTCGATGGTAAATTTGAAAGTTTGAATTCACCACTTTAATAGTAATTTTAATGGAGGTAAAAACAAAATATTTACGAACTCAAAGAAAAAAAAAAGAATAAATATTTACTGCTGGGTGCAGACCATTTCTCAAGGCAGTGGGAACCCAACGGTCGACTAGCAACGACTCTTTTAAATATTCACACTTTTGCCACCATTTCGCTTCATCCTTCCACCCAAAAACCAAAAAACCAGAGAGAGACAGAGAAAGTCCGATAAAATTTTCTGTTTGGTTCTCGAGAAAATGGTGACGGCAAAGTCTAAATTGTCGTACGAGGAGTCTCGCCAGCAGCGATTGGAGGAAAACAAAAAGAGAATGGAAGCTCTCAATCTGCCTATGCTTGCTCAAGCTCTTAACAAAACCCCAAATTCTCCCAAACCCTCCCCTGTAATCCCTACAACTCTCTCTCTCTCTCTCTCTCTCTCTCTATATATATATATATATATATATGTACACACACACACATATAAATATATTTCTCTGTAAACAGACTTCACATTCTGCCTATTCTTCCTGTATTTTCAGATGAAGCGCGCCGGGAAGCCTCGCACGTATGAGGTGCAGATGGTGGAGGTGAGGAGGTCCACTCGGGTTGCAAATCGACCTGCACCCGATTACAAAGAAGTGGGTCATTAAATTTTCCCTCTACTTGCTCAAAGCTTCAGTCTTTGGCTTTTGAATGTGTATTTTTGAGTAGGGTTCTTCTGGGCCTCTGGCATTGTATGTAAAATTTCAATTTTTTATGTTATGGTTTGTGACAGGTTGTGGCGGAGCGAGTAATGATTCCGAGAAGGAGCTACTCCACTAATCGGCATAGGGATGTGGCGAACCGGGTGTATGCTTCCGATGAAGCCAGAGCCGCCGCGATGGTGAAAGCCGACGAATTAGAGGCCAGTTTGGGATCCGATCACCCGACACTTGTGAAAACAATGCTGCAATCACATGTCACTGGTGGATTCTGGCTGGTAAACATTATTCTCATCTTTTCACTGTATGCTGTTTGTCTGGTATGGAATTGTTTATTAAGAAAGAAACCAACTGTTTTGAACAACATTTTCAGTTTATTTGTGTTTTATATGTTAGAAGAATGTAAAGTCTCACATCGAAAACCTGACAAAGTAAAATACTACATGGAATGAATGGTTTCACTACCAGTCGCACCGAGGCTTTTTGTATGAAACCCCACACCCGTTGCACTGTGCATGTGATTAAGTTGGTGTGACTCGTAGTGAAACGCTATCTCCCTCTCCGAAATCTCAGTCGCTAGACAATGTAGCAATGTGCTGTCGATGAAGAAAGTTGTATTTGCTCAGTATATGTCCAAAGTGCTGCTTCATATTGTGTATGCAATCGTATCTTGTATAATTGGCAACAGGGTCTTCAAGTAAGCTTCTGCAAGAACCACCTCCCTAAGGGTGATGAAGTTATGACACTGATCGATGAAGATGGCGACGAGTACCCGACCATATACTTGGCCCGAAAAACAGGACTCAGCGGCGGATGGAAAGGATTTGCAGTTGCTCATGATCTGGTGGATGGTGATGCATTGGTTTTTCAATTGATCCGGCCTACGACGTTCAAGGTAATTGACAAAGCTGCATAAAAACCTTCCGTATTTTGCACTTGAATTTCCGATAAGTCAAGTAATCTTCTTTGTTTTCAAACCAGTTTTGTTTAAAGTCTAATGTACTTGTATAATCTTCTCAGGTGTACATTATACGGGTGGAAAGACCCGGACAGGCAAGCTCAGAAGGATCAACTTAGGTAATTTAATTATGACCATTCTTGTCGCTGTCGAATTTACTTATTCACGTGTTATAATATATCAATCTACGAGTTATAGCATGATTAGACAATATAGCAGATGTTTCATCCACCAATGGTATACATGATGTGAACTTGCAAATGTGTGACTCTATTCCTTTTGTCAAGTTGGTCGGTAAAATCGTTAATTTGAATGATGTGAACTGATGTGGTGTAAGAATATTAGTTAAACAAATAGATACATGTGTTACAAAATTCCTTAGCTCATTTGTGATGTCTTTATAGGAACACCAGATGTAGGGGGCAGTTAGTACATCATATAAATGAAACAAGTTGCATATGCGAAGGGACCACAAATGTGATGCAACTGTCTGTGTTTATATAGAAACCAAGTGACCTTCACGCAAGTTATTCAATTTATTATGGTTTAAATTGTCTCTTTCAAACATCCATATATGTGTCCTATTTTTGTCTTCCAATGGCTTTCCTTGTAGAGATTTTACTCATCTTAATCCTCTTATTTTCGAGAGATTTGTAACTATCTCCGGTTGTATATATGCATTGTTTATCTCTCTTATTCAGTAACGAGAGATTGGTAAAAATAGATATACAACCAGTTACAAGATAGATTCTCTATTTGTACTCGCGAGCTTCGTATCTATCCACTTGTGTACACATTTATAATCCCGTTAGTAAAACGAAAACACAGTTACAAAACAAATTATATTCACTTTTCACTTTCTCACTCGACCCTTTTACTTTTTTGCAGGTAAAAGAGTAGGGGGAATGGAATGTAGAGAGTTTTATATGTAAATTTTGCAATGAGCTCCGTTTGTTGCATTTTGTGTAACAGAGAGATATATATGAACCCCATGACCATGATGACCCAATATATGAATGGACAGAAGCTTTTTCTTATCTTTAATTCCCTTCTTTCTCCACATATATATATATATATATATATATATATATATATATATATATATATATATATATATATATATATACGTGATAAAGAAGGACAGCTATATTGCATGTTATGGGTATGTGGGTTCAGAGCCTATGAAAACTTTTCCATGGCAATTGGCAATCAATTCAAGTTATTGACTTCATTGCCAATCACACCACAACCCCAAGAAAACTTTTCCATGGCAAATGGCAATCAATTACTTTAGGGAACTTTAACGTGGAAGGATTTTCGCACGCCTTTTTCCTCTTCTAGCTACTATGTACTCACGGGAGTATATGTACGGAAATAAAATCATTTTTTCTGATTGATTATATCAGTAATAAACATTTGACAATCATATTACAGGAAAAATCGTTCATCTAAAATTTAACGGTTGTTAAATGTAATAACGATTTAGACTCAGAGTTTTTCCTTCAAAAATGAGACTATTTGGCATAAAACCAAGTTATTTTCATTTAATTGTTTTGCAATTTCTTCAACATGGGCAAGCAAGCAAAAGACCATATTTAATTTAATTTAACTTAATTTAATTTGCTAAGCTAAAAAGCCTTGGGCCTTTCCAGCCTGCAAAAAAAAAAAGCAAATAAATCGAACATGCCTCTGCGACCGCGTAACATGTGTGAATGATGGAGCTGTGATCGTGTGCAGCCGGATTCACTGAACGAAGCCGAATGAGCCACTGGAATCCCAAGCTGCTCAAGCTTTTGAGCCGATCATTATTAATGTAAAAAATAATATTATGTATTGGCGTGCCCGATTAATTGACTTGCCTTTACGCGGAGTTGGTTTTAGTTAACTGGCGCCGAGAATTCCGGACTCTCCAGGTGGAGGGCGGGACAAGGCGGTTAGGTTTTTTCCAAGCGAAAATGGTGCTACAGATAAATGTTCCTGTGGGGTCCCCCAAGGCCCAATGGGTCCCACACTTGATCACAATCTTTGAACTACGTGACATCAACGTCGTGTTATGATGAATCATTAACATTGATCTGAAACAAAAAAATGTTTTATCATTATGTCTAAACTTTGTGTGGATACTTAAAAGTGAAAAAAATAGACAAAATTTGCCTAGTCAAATTGAAGCCTAACCGCCTTGTGAGGTCAAACTAGCATCAATGCTAGTTTTGAGAGGGCGGGATCCACTATAACAAAAAAAATATCGATAAGTATATAATTTTTTTGAATTGTTAGATTTTGCATCTGGCTTTCAGCTCTTACTTGACACATTAACTCGAAATTTGTATTCTCTTAGGATGACGCTTGGTTTGATTGGAGGCTTGAGAATAAGTTTGTGATAATTGTACTTTTTTTTCTTTGAGTGATATGAAGACATAAATTTAAACTTAAGATCTCAAGTTTACAAGCACCTTGCATATCATCTATGTGGTTGGTAAACACATTTTGAGATGTGATACTTGTTACATGATTATGAACTCATCGTGAAAGAATAATCTAATGGTTTTTCGTCTAGTTAAGAATATGCTTTCAGCTACTTACGAAAGCATTTACACATATCTTGTCTACTTTACCATTATTGGAAATTTAACGAATCTCATGCAAGTATAATATACTAGAAATGAACCACATTACTTCCTAAACCAAGTATCGGCATAAGACAAGATAATAATTCATGATTTCATTATTAGATGACTTCTTCAGCGAATCAAATGCCACTTAAATCCAAAACTAGTAACAAGTAAATGAAAAAATGATTAATTATGGTAACCGGCTAAAACGGTCATTGTGTAAAAATTTGATCTTGTGAATTGTGATTAGTGTTGTGTGAAGGGTTTATTTTCTTGACCGAGTCCTCGTCGAGTTTTTGAGTCTCCTTTGCTAAAAAGAAAAATAAAATAGAAATAAAACAAATCGCATAGTTTGTCTTACTTGGTCGACTTCAGATTCCTCACACTCAAGGGCGCCACCGGAGCCCACCCTCCCCATGGGCCCACACAGAACTAGAGAGCGAGAGACAGAGAGATCCACGAAGAAGTCGCGAAGCAAATCCTTTTCTCTCTTGACTCTAGCGCGGCACACAAGTCAAACGGCGCGTCAAAGACGCGGCTCGGAGCGCCGAATTTAAGAAACGGCGCCATTTCCTGCCACGTCAGCGTCAGTAAATATTTATTAATTAATATTTTCTCTCTAATTTTATTTTTCTTATTTTTATTTCATTTATTTTTGTTTTTGTTAAAAGAAGAAAGGAAAGGAGAAGAACAGCTTCATTTCATTTGTGCTTTTTCATCTCATTATTCGCTCTCTCGAAAGAGAATGGAATTTCCGCAGTGCGCCGGTATCCGCGTTTCTCGATCACAGCAACCCGCCACCGCCGTCGTTTCCGTCGCGCCTCGCTCTCGTCTCCTTCGCGCGTAATCGTCATTGCTGTTTGCTAATCGGTCCCTCTCTTCCTGTAATTTTTCTCCTCATTTTCTTGGATTCGTGTTCATATCCGCATTGCGGTTTCTTTGCATTTGTTCATAAATTTTACAGCTTTTGAGACGGTGAAAATCGTCCGATTCGTTTTTGTGAGTGCCGTTTCGTTTGAAGATCTCGGTGATTTGTTGCTGTTTTAGCTGCTGATATTGACGATTTTTTTTTTGGAAAGGATTTGGATTTGTGATTAGATTTGAGAATGCTCGAAACGGTGCGTTTGATTGACGCGCCTATGTGCTGGTTTTTGTTTTGTTTTGCAGGATTTGGATTGAGAATCGGCGATGGAGGAATAGAGGTAGGAGGAGGAGGGGAGAGAGAGAGAGAGAGAGAGAGAGAAAGAAGCTGTGTGTGGAGGTGTTTGACTTTGGGGAACAATGTCCACTAAGAGCGAAAATCATCAAACTGTTCCGCTTTCGGTGCTGCTCAAGCGTGAATTGGCCAATGAGAAGATTGAGAGACCGGAGATTATACACGGTCAGGCGAGTCAGAGCAAGAAAGGAGAGGATTTCACGTTGGTAAAGACGGAATGTCAAAGAATTGTGGGAGATGGAGTTTCTACGTATTCAGTTTTCGGGGTATTTTTCTTTCATTGTTTGTTTCCTTTTGTTTCCTGATTGTCTACCATTTGTATTGACGAAATGTAGAAATAGCTAACTTTGATGTTCATCAAATTGGTAAACTTTTTGACCAAATGGATGCTTAAAAATGTGGATCACCTAGTTTAGGTGTGTGGTTGTTCATGATTTCCTTCTTTGTGTTTTGATATGTGATCTTTTGGTGTTTACGATGCACAATATTTACATAAACTAAATGTATCTGAGTATGTAGTTGATTGCTGTGATGATTTGACTAGCCATGTGCGATGTGGTGGTTGTGCTGGGAATTTCAAACTTGTGCCCATGTTTGATAAACAACCAAGTTCTTTTAAGCCATTTTATGGATTATGTAGATTATAAACATTGTCGGTCCTTTTTGCTCCTACCTAATCTAGGGAACTCGGTTTTATTTATTTTTCAAATTTTATCAAGACTGGAAAAACCATTATTGAAGCCTTGATATATTCTTACTGGACTATGTCTTGCAGCTATTTGACGGGCATAATGGGTCAGCAGCCGCTATTTACTCCAAGGAGAATCTTCTAACTAATGTTTTGGCTGCTATCCCTTCAGATCTAAATAGAGATGAATGGGTAGCAGCATTGCCAAGGGCTTTTGTAGCAGGCTTCGTCAAAACAGACAAAGAATTCCAAGAGAGATGTATGGATGATTTTAATCTGTTTTTAATTTTAGCTCTTGCTCTACCTTAATATCGACCAACACTAAATGGTATTTCCTTCAGTAAAATTCCTATCATAAATATTGATGTGTGGGTATTTTTGTTTAGTTTGAAACTGGATTACCTTTGTAACCTATGCATGCTATTGAAACTAGAGTTAATAAGTAGCTGGTTCGGTGGTGTCTTGGTCATAAGGGGAGATACATAATAATATCCCTTGTTAGAGAAAGCATCTCAAATCCACACCGTTTATGAAATTGCTCATATATCCAACTTATACTGCATGTTAATCATACTTTGGTTTATATAAGATTATAAGTTAACTGTATGCCTATTGCTACTTTTTTCCTTATAATTGTTAAACAGTTAACTGGACTGTAGAGTTTGCCTGAGTTCACCCAAAATTATTCAAGCTGAGAATTTAGTGTCCTAGCTTTATGGTTTATACTCCATTTACTCACACCTATATAAGTTCCTTTTGGTTTGAGAGCTCTGTCTTCTGTTGACTTGCAAACATATCATTGTCTAATCGTACTTGTTTGTGGGAAGCATATCTCCAGTTATAGAGCCACTCAATCCCCACGTATATTTTTCACTTTCTTAGCCTAACTTACCCTAACTTAAACTCCCAAAACATGCACATGCAATGTACATGAGATCCTTAAAAAATGTATGTATATATTTTTCTTCTTGTTTATGTGTTATCAAAATGTTTTCGTCCATTTTGGAGGCATGCATGCTTAAGGATATCAACGAATAAGTTAATTGTTGTATTTGAGGGTTACCAGTTGTACATTTGATTTTGTAATTTTTATGAGTTTTAGTATAATAGTTAATTTATTGTTTTGTTGTGTGCATGATTTCATGCATTTTATTGCCATCTTTCAGCTCAAACGTCAGGAACAACTGTCACGTTTGTGATTATAGAAGGATGGGTCATATCTGTTGCATCTGTCGGCGATTCTCGTTGCATAGTTGAACCTGCTGAAGGTGGAGTTTACTATTTATCAGCAGATCATAGGCTTGAAATCAATGAAGAGGAGTAAGTTCTCTGTATAATATATTTTATGACTCACTTAACTATCTGTAACCTTTATTAACCCTCCAACTAAATTTTAATAGGAGACAGCGTATCACCTCAAGTGGGGGCGAAGTTGGTCGGCTTAATACTGGTGGTGGGGCAGAGGTAACTTTTCTTCATGCCTTACTTAAGCGTATTGTTCACGAAGTTTTCTGTACAAGCACAAATT